CCCCCCCGGGGTGATGGAGCTCGCGGTGCCTCAGCTTTGTGCCGGGGTGGAGGCGAGTCTCTTCTGCGTCAGGGCTCGCAAAGCGCTGCCCAAATGGCGCCGCCCAAATGGCGCTGCCCAGGCTGAAGGGAAGGAGGCACGAAGTGAGCAGTCCCCAGCCTGGCAGCGCGGGGCCGGCTCCGGCGGTGGCCTCGGTCACTCGGCACGGCTTTCGGCTGCGGCGGGAGGAGCGAGCGCTGCCGTGCTCCGGCCGCCTTCTCCCATGGGTGTCACGGCAAAGCCCGGGGGGGGCCGCGTGCCGAAGCGGTCCTTGCCTCCTCCCGCCATCCAGGCCTTGCCAGGGGGGTCCTCCCACCCGCAGCCTCCCGTGCAGCGCCCACGGGGCGGCTCGTGGGTCCAGATCGTCACCCAGAGAGGGACACGGGGGTGGCAGATGGGTTGATCGCCCTCCTTGTACCGGCCCGTGGGTTACTCGGTGATGTGAGTTCAAACACTTTTAAAGAAAGAGAGGGTTGAGGAAAGCTGGGTCAGCGTGTGGAGCCAACCCTGGGCTCTCCTCTGTCCTCTTTAATCCGGATTAATCCCAGTATCTGGACCAGCAGCGCGGCGATGCTGCGGTGGGATGGATGGGGCCACCCCTTCCCGCAGCAGCTCGCGGGAAGATTTAATTGCCTGCGAAAGGAAAAACGAAGCGTTCGGGGGAGAGCCCCCATCCTTTCACGGCGGTTCATTTGTTTCGGCGCTTTAACGATCGACCATGTAATGCTTTGGCCGTTGGGGAAACCACTCGCGTCATCCCGCTCTCACCAGCAGAAAGGAGGCCCGATCCCGCGGCCGTACGATGAGGGTTTGCTCCGTGTCTGGTGCAGGCGGGTAGGGGCTCTGCCCGCCCGCGGGGCATTTATTTATAAGCTCCGCTGCTGGCAGAGACCCTCCAGCACCCAGCGAGGGCTCGCTCGGACAAATCCACCCCAAGCCTGGCCCCACAGGTTAGGGAATTATATAGGGGTTTATAGTGTAGAAGAGAAAAAAATAGATACGATGAGGGTTTGCTCCGTGTCTGGTGCAGGCGGGTAGGGGCTCTGCCCGCCCGCGGGGCATTTATTTATAAGCTCCGCTGCTGGCAGAGACCCTCCAGCACCCAGCGAGGGCTCGCTCGGACAAATCCACCCCAAGCCTGGCCCCACAGGTTAGGGAATTATATAGGGGTTTATAGTGTAGAAGAGAAAAAAATAGATCTTCTGCTTTAACCCCAGCTAATTCTTTGCTTTAAGTTTTTCAGCCCGTGTGTCGATGCCCAGAGCGGTCGTACGGCAAGAGCACAGGGGCCGGCGAGGGCGTGCGGACAGCCGGGGACGCTCGGCTGCGGGGACGCTCAGGGACCCAGCAGCGGGGGACGCTGGCGAACGGGACGCGTCTCTCGATAGGCAGGGGATCGGGCAGGAGGAGGGCTGCCTGCCCGCCCCTGCTACCCCCCATCCCAAACTCTCCTCCCCGGTACGGGCACCGGGCCAGCGATGGGAGCAGGGCAGCGGGCTCGGAGCATCCTCGGAGCTCACGCCGCTTTGCCGGGAACGCTTTGCTGAGGCTTAACATGTCGCGGAGCCAAGCGGGAGAGCGCGTGCTGCTTGCTTTTTCACATGCCTGGGGGTCATGGTGCCTCCTAAAATAAACCCTCC